CATTCTCCGTCAGGAGTCTTACACCCCAGGGGATCAGGGTCAGGGTCCTTTCTCTTTGAAGGAGGACCATGTGTATACCCTGTGCATGTTTTTGTATGCTTCAATTTTTATGTACTCACTTATTTTTGCCCTTGGAAAAAAAAAAAAAAAAAAAAAAAGGAAAAAAAAAATCCTAAGAAATCCTAAAATGTAAGAAAGAGGAGTTTCACTATGGAATCATTTAACCATTTCTTGACCATGCTTTAGCCGAATTACGGCTACAGTGCAGTTGTCCAGTTCTGGGAGGGCATCATATGACATCCTCCCAGAATGAGCCTCCAGTGGCACGTACCTGGCGCTGTCTGGATCACATGACACTATAAAGGGCCAGTCACAGCAGCCTTTTACCATGTGATTGGACACAGCTGATCACCATGTAAATTCACTTGCTGGTTATCGGCAGTACTTTCTTCACGCTGTCACAGCATGAGGAAAGCACTGCCAATAACCAGCAACTTTGAAAGGATTAATCAACATTGATAATCAGGGCACTGATTATCAGTGCAGCCTCAAGAGTGCCCATCAGTGCTGCCAATCTGTGCCAGTCAGTGCCACCAGTCACTGCCCGTCAGTGCTGCCCATCAGTGCCATCTATCAGTGCCAAATATCAGTGAAGCCTCATGAATGCCCACCAGTGCCACCTCATCAGTGCCTATCAGTGCCTATTACTGCAGCCTAATCAACACACATTAGTGAAGGAAAAAAAAAAATCACCTGTTTCCAAAATTTTATAATAGAAACAAACACTTTTTTTTCTCCAAATTTTCGGTCTTTTTCCTTTTATAGTGCAAAAAAAAAAAAAAACAGTGGTGATTAAATACAACCAAAAGAAATCTCTATTTGTATGAAAAAATGATAAACATTTCATATGGGTACAGTGCTGCATGACCGCGCAATTGTCATTCAAAGCGCAACAGCGCTGAAAGCTGAAAATTGGCCTGGGCAGGAAGGGTGTAAAAGTGCCCAGTAGGCAAATGGTTAAAGGAGGGCTCCAAGATACAACCTAGATAAAAACAAAACAAAAAATAAAATATGCAACTGATGAGATGAAAGAAAAAAAAAGCCGTAGATAGACAATATAAACCTGTGTCTGTTTTTGCAATCTAATCTACGAAGTGATGAATTGTTCTGAACATCTGACATACATTCTGGCTTTACATGCATGTATCTGAAAAAAAAAATGTAAAGTATTTTGCAACTAAAGTATCATCAACCTACACAGTGTCACCACATAGCTGGGTTAGGGGTGTATAGAGGAAGTAGTTCAGGAACTATTTGGTTGAGAGTATGTGTGCAATTTTATTCAGCTTTTGAAGTCAGTTGGTGAATCATTTTTGATAGGTGATATTTAAAGTGATTGTAAAGGATACATTTTTATTTTTAAAAAATAACAAATATGTTAGACTTACAAGCTCTGTGCAAGGCACCCCAATTCTCCTCTTCTCCAGAGCAGCCATCCCAATTCTCCTCTTCTGGGGTCATCCACCAGTGCTCCTCCCCCTGGAGAGTGTCCCCACTTGCTATGGGGGCTCTCATGCGGGCTTGCTCCCGAACCAAATCTGTGTCAATTGACACACAGGGCATGGGTCAGCCACACCATCTACTTTCTCCTCACAAGCTGTGATTGACAGCAGTGGAAGCCAATGTATCCCGCTGCTGTCTCTGAGCCAATGAGGAGAGAGAGAGCTGAGAGAGGCGCTGCTCTTGTGCAGTGCTGGATCGAGATTGGTCTTCAGGGAAGTATACGGGGGGGGGGGGTTACCTTGCAGTAGAGAATGTATTAAGGTAAAAAGGAAAACCTGTCTATAGAGTCACTAAAATGTAAACTGGTTCTTATGGGGTCGTGTACACATATTGTTGCTTTTGCATGCAATATATTGCGTTGATTTTATTTCCGTTTTATAAAGGTCAATATGAAGGTATTTCAAATGGATGTCAAACTGATCATAACATAATAAAGAAGATAAAAAATAAAAACAAAGTCATACAGAAATATCCAATTACATTCTGTTTATTGAGTCTTATAAATAAACCTTGTAAATTATCAGTAGAATAACAACTTGAGCTTCATTGGCATGTACATACAAATACACGCCAAGAACTGCTGAGACTCTGAGGGCTGCACTGGTAACAACAATGTCATATAGTTCCTTAATCATATCAAAGCCATAAAGTGAACTGTACACATTAGAAAGTAACTACAAACCATTGAATATGTCTTTACTATTGCACTTCTGCCCTCTACTGTTTAGTGTGAGCATTGCAAGCAGAATCTTGAAATCACAGTGGTAGTTACCTGCATTGCTCTGCCATGAATCTGTACAAAAGGCACAAGTTGGTTCCAAAGAAGTAGAATTTGATCCATTTTTGCTAAGGTTATATGAATAATCTTATATTTCTCCATAAAAATACACTGAAAAGAAAAAAAATCTCTTTAGGAGACTTTGACCCAGTTTCTGCATTGATACAGATTTTGATTTTTCACCCAAATAATAAAGATAGTCTATTGTCTCTTTAGAAAATTCATCTTCTAATTACGAATTCCACTGACACAAAGGAGCACACAGGTGGCTCAGTTTATGAACCTCATTACACACATAGAGAGAGAGATAAAAACCAGAGGCTGTCATTGTTGACTTTCATCTAAAAATGCTAGTTCTTGGCTCTCAAGCTCTTTCAATGCCTTCAATACTATACATCACTAGAAACCAGCATGCAGACCAGGAAACAAAAAAATTACATCTGAATTTCTGATCTTCATACTTGTTTTGAGTAGGTTTAGAATGTATTAAAACCATTGGATCAGAATGACAGTCAGGCAACTAGTATTTTCAGGAGAGATCAGCAATAGCAGCCTCCATGCTTCCTCATTGCAGTTTTCTTTTAATAAGTTGTGCCAATAATGTTTAACTGCTGCAAAATTTAAATTCCAAAGCAGCCAGGGATATCTACCTCTTGTAGCTCAGCAGTAGCTATTGACATCTGCCAAAGACAGGTCCCATTACTGGCTGTAAAGATACATGTCAAAGCTTTTCCTAAGAACAACATAATGATTTTTACAGTATGTCCTCATGAGAGAATATATTGGAGTCATTTCATTTGTTTCTCATTAAAATAGCTTTCTAAATTACATTCTCACCTAAGCGGTACAATTATAATATATATACACTCACCCTACTTCCTCACTCCCATGTTATGACGGATAGACCTGTCCCCCACTAAACCTTCACTTCTCTATTCAGGATTTATTTACTCAAGTGGTTGTGGATTTAAAAGCTTTTTTCACCATTGCTGTTCCTTTTCTAAGCCTGCACAATACGAAAATTAAAGGGATAAAGAGAGGAGTATTGGGCATTGGAAATACAGAGAATGGCACAATATGAAGTCTCATAGAACTGATAGGACAGAATCTTATTTTAAAGAGGCCCTGTTCTAAACTCAGTGTAGAGGTGGTCATTATGCAAGCTGAACCAGTTTGTTCTAGATTGGTTCACTTTGCTGGCTCTTGATAGAATTGCTGAGGAAAGAACTGTAGATGTAATAAGGGTTCAGCATACAAAATGGCTGTCTCTAAAAAAAAATGTAACCAGTGTAGATTTTATAATGAATCTATTTAGTAAAGATCGGGGGCTAAGTCACATGCAGCTGTAACATGGGGAGCTGTAAACTCAAGCCACTAAGCAATGCCATCCTTTGTTGGCAGCTGGCTTACCTGAAACACATTGGAGTTAATATGTTCCGAATGACTGCCAACAGGTTGACACATTGCTTATTGCTAGGAGTTTAAAATTACTCATGTTATTCAGCCCTAAAGCAGAGTCAGGTTCCTGCACAGATTCCTTTATGTAAGTACCAAAGCAACCATTCTCGACCAGGGTTCTATGGAACTCTGGGTTTTACCTCCAGAGGTTGCTAGTTTTTGAGCTGTGGCTCATTGACCTTCCATCTGACAGTATCTACATAGTTTCTGGTCCAGTGCAACTTGGCAAAGCCGGCGACATGACACCAATAATATTTTTTGCTTTCTGTAAAGGTGTCATTAAAAAAGGGCATTCATTTTATTGACCACTAATGTAAGTGACATTCCTCCCACTAACCCCCAATGATTTATTTAAGCAGGGGTTCCCTGAGGCCAGATAATTATTTCAAGGGTTCCACTGGAGTAAAAAAAGTTGAGAATGTGCCAAAAGATTCATCCTGTATTGTGTAGCAGCTTTTCAGGATGATGCCCCCTACTCCTTGGCTCTTATCCCTCCCTGAACATTGCTCATGTCAGAAGGACATTGAATAGCACAAAATGCTAATCAAACGAACTAGTTAAAATTTGCTGCATTTTTGGTAATGGACTTGCTGTTCTAAAAAGTCACAAAGTGAAGTTGAACAGCCTATAGACAGCAGAAAAATAAGCATTGCTGAAACATTTCATCTGTGGCTGTAGATGTGAGGTGTACAGCATACCTCCTTGTGCAGTTCATATCTTGGACAAGGTCTATCAACCAAAAGGCCAACACCACCAATGGACTCCACTGTCCAAGATCTGCTGACAGGAGGTGTTTGCTATACTTACCCATACAACTTCAGATAGTCGCTGCGAAAAATAATGCAGCAGTAAACTAAAGTCTATATTGCATATTCTGCAAACATTCACCTTCGTATAGCTTTGAAACTTTCAATCTATACAAGATGGGTTTCATCTCATCTTTAACTGAGCATGATTACAAAGACATATGAAAGAGCATTGACTTATTTTGGACTAAAAAGCTTACTGCTAAAGTATACAGAAGCATATTAGCACACGTTGCTCCTGGGCAGAACAAGGCAAATTTACAAAAGGAAGACAGCTTGAGGCTCCTTATATACATAGACAATTAGAATTCCTCTTGGCCAGTCTCCAGGGTTCATCTATGTGTAAGTCTTCAGTGGGGGAGTGAAGAGGAAGAAGGTGGCAAGAGAAAACCAGTCTATGTGGGGATGACTCCAGTGGCAAGGAGGATGATGAGGAGGACAATGATTCCAACTACCACACAGATAATGGCGATCATCTTCGCATTCTTCCACCAGTACTTCCGGGCAACCTTCTGGGATGTGGTCTTAAAGTGTTCAGACTGTGGGAAACAAAGAATAACCATGAGGAATGTAGACATATATGAGGAAACCATATGGATTATTACCAGTCCTGTGACTCCTCCACCTGACTAGTTCAATGTAATTATTACAGATGCAATGAGAACCCAGTCTCAGTTTCTCATGTGCAGGAAACATAGGGAGGAATAGGGTAGCCTCCAAGGATGCCTGCTTCTGATTTATAATCTTCCACTTCAGTGCTTTCATGACTTGTGTCTCAGGGTGTCTGTGTTATACAGACCTAAGAGTCATAAAATGGGGTTTTTTCCAGCAAATAGACATCAAAGTATCATCACAGCATTTAACCAAACTTGTTAGGGGACATTTACATTTTTTACTTGATAACTAATTGTTCCTCATTTTGATTATATTTCCCACAAAGATGTTCCTTGCTTAAAGGACTCTCTCAAGAGAGAAGGATGGAGGCTGCAATTGCAGGTCACCTTCCGAAAATGCTGGATGCCTGGTTGTGTCTGAGTTTAGCATGTTTAAGACACAGACCTGGAGCAGTCAAGCTCTAAAGTGGTTTCAGAACTACTTCTCTCTATACCAATTCTGAGCATTTAAATGCCAGGGAACTAGCATTTTGAAAGTTGAGGGAAAAACTTATTTTTTTAGTTTTAGATAGAGTGGAGGTGGATTTAAACACCTACCAGGTTTTTTATTGCCGTTTGTGCCCCCATTAGGGAGATTTACCCTCTCTATTTGTCTTGTTTACCGTTCTCATTGAATGTAAAATAAATAAAAAATACCAAATTTTGGGTTGTCTGCAGAAAAGTAATATAGCAACACTTTACCGGTGACCTGGGTGGCCCAAAGAGATTCCCTTAATTTGAAGGAATTTTCTTTTTGGCTATGGGACAGAAAGTGAAGGAAAATCTCCCCAATGGGACACATATGGCAGAAAAAACCAACAGGGGTTATAACCCTACTTTACTCTATCCAAAATGAAAAAAAAGGTTTTGCCTATAGTTCTACTTTGTTTTTTTTTTTACTCAAAAGCTCCGTTCATAGCTGCCTAAACAGATAATCAATTACTCCTAAAATTACTGCTAGCTTTGATAACCAAGATTCATTTTAATGATAGATGGAGAAAAATGGAAGAGCATATGCTTAAGGTGGTGATAAAATAACACTTTAGGCTAAAATGTTCATCTAAACCCAAAAGCAAAAATGTAATATACTGCAACTTACCAATCCTTAAAGAGGAACTAAAGTCTGACTTACTTACCTTAGCTGCAATGGTGTGGTGCCCACAAGGTCCCTCGCCAGCATCTTTTCCTCGGCTTCATTTGGGTGCCAGTCTTTGGCCATCTTGATTGACCAGCATGGGATGAAGTAATTCCTGTGCATGCACAGGAGTTATGTCATCTGGGCACACAGGCACAGTGCTCAAATGTGGAGTGGTCCTGTACTCAAGAGGAGCCGGCTGTAGTCTTTTCTCCTTATATAGGTGGGGGCTAGGGTGGATTGCAAAAGGCCTTTTAGGCCAGGCTAGAGATCCCTGTAAGAGGCTGCATCCCTGGAGGGTTCCCAGGAGAGATGTACCTAGCAAGCAGGTGACTACAGAGTGTGCAGTCCTGTGAGTACTAATGATCCTGAGTAGAGAAGAGACAGTCAGGGCTGCTGAGGTGCTGCACATACTTTCACTTGTGACTACTGTGGACCAGCCACTAAATATGATTAACTGTGTAATATGAAGTGACCTCTGCAATGTAGGTCTTATTGATGTGACTGTAATGCCCTTTCCTAAACACCACCAGTAAAGTGCAGCAAAACTACTATTTGTGTGGACATTCCTTAATTGGGGATACAAAGGTCTATGGCCGCGAATGTCATGTGAAGGCTTATGGCAAGGAGCAGGGCACAAGATGGCGGAGGGTTCAGCATTAGCAGGAGGGACAGTGTTCTAGCAGGGCTGGAGCGGGGTAGGGACTTGTGCTCTTGGAGCCAAACCCAGCCAACCAAGAAACCCTTCTTACATACTTAACAAAAACCTCTCCACAGACTAACAATGCTGTTGTCCAGAGGGCAGCTCCGTTGATTGAGTGAAGCCACCCTAAGACAGGAAACATGTTACTGGCAAGGTCACCATGTGAAAATAAAGAAAAAACAGCCTAAAAAAGAAAACTAATGCAGTCACCAAATTTAAGGATTGGTAAACTGCAATATATTTAGATACACTTTGAGGCTCTATGCACACTACCATTTTTTTTTTTAAGATAAAAAAATGGTGGATAAAAATCGCTGGTAATAGCATTTCTATTAGCATTTTAGTAGCGTTTAGGAACATTCCCGTTTAATTTGTACTGTACATGTATAGGGAAAAAAAAGCTAGACAAAACAGTAGCATTTAGCATTTTTTCTGCTGGAAAAACACTCCAAAAACAATCTTTCTTCTGCTCTTATGCAGGCCAGAGATGGTTCGTTTATCGGACGATTTTTCATCCGAAAGAATAATCGGACAATTTTCGCACTGTTAGTGGGGCAATGGAATCGGCCGATTTTCGTGTTTCCTCCTCATCTCGTTTATCGGTCATGCTGGAAAATTCATGAAAAACGGCCGATTTTCGCAATCATTGGTGGCAACATCGGCTTACAGAATGAATGATGTTTTGTTTTTTTGGACGAAAAATCAGCCGATAAACGAACCGTCTATCGCCTGCATTAGACACCTCAGTTCAAAAAAATGCTAACAGCCTAAAGTAGTGTGCATGAACACATAGGATAACACTATTTAGCTTCTAGGAGCTTAAAAAAAAATGCTAGTGTGCATGGAGCCTAATTCTTCAAGCTATACCAATCTTATCTTGCCAAGGAGCATTATTTTCAGCAATGAGGGCCAACAATACCTAAAATAACCATTCTTGGCTGAAAATATTAATTGTAATGGCAAAAAGTGAAAACATCTCAATTATATTTATGCTGTACATTTTTAGGAGAAAATGATCATAACATAGCAAATTGATCCTGGTGTTGGCTTTAAAATAAAACGCATTTAATTTACTGAATTCAGCCGAATAGAACATTTAGCATCACATTATAAAGGCAAATGTTACTGTCAGGGGCGGACTGACAACTCATGGGGCCCCCCGGGCAATAGGGGATCATGGGGCCCCTGTGTCCTTGCCAAAACTCAAAAAAGCCTAAGAAAAAAGGTACCAGGGGCATCTCATGGGGCCCCCTGCTGACTCCAGGCCCTTGGGCAGTGCCCGAGTTTCCAAATGGTCAGTCCGCCCCTGGTTACTGTATGCCTCCATTACAGCTAATTACTTGAATTGTTTCAAGAACATGTCATTGTATGACAGCAAATGACATCACCAAGCCAGAACTTATCAGACTGCAATAACATGTAATATCACACAGCAAAAGCATATTATGTTGCAAAAGCAAAATGACTATATTTGGTCATACCATCCCAGGGTTTTGGGTGTAGTTGTCCATTAAGTGACAACATAAGGTGAAAAACAACATTAAGATTATCTATTCATACCATTAATTACACAGGAAAAATGATCTAGTCAAAAACACTTATACACATATGGTGGTGCATTTTGAAAATATCCAAATCTCATATCCAGATTACCCAAATTATAGCAGAACAGAATGTTGAGACAAGTTTGTAGGATCTCAAATATAGATGAAGGTAATGACAACTTACACTGGCCTCCAGGTCCTCGGTTTTATTCCTTAGTTGGTCCAGGTTCTCTCCCCGAGCCAGGATCCTCTCCACATTTTGAGACATTATGTTCTTTACCCCTTCCACCTCACTCTGGAGATCCCTCACATGGTCGTTGCCCACTGGGGCAGCCATCCCTGACGTCTCCTAATGATGGAGAAACAGGAATAGGATTAGACATGCAAACACATACTAAAATAAAAAAACAAGGTGTTACATAGTTAGTCTGGTTGAAAAAAGACACAAGTCCAAGCAGTGCAACCAATAGAAGGGGAGCAAAAAAACACTAGTTGAGGTGGTAACCATCACACATTGGTGGAAACATCTTATGGGTTGCACAAACAGTTCCAGGAAACTTTTCTTTTGGGTGACTTGGAACCAATATCACTAAGGCTTTAAACTGTATCTTGATATACAGATAAGCTCCATTCATATATACATTGGTTCTGTCAAAAAATGGTGGTCCCAATGTCTTAGCCCTCATGCACACGTGACGTTTCTACTGCTGCTGTTTTTGGCGTTTGATGTTTTTTTTCTACAGGCAATAAACTCTCCAGCATGTTATCCTATGTGTCTATGCACACATAGGCTGTAATCAACTTTTTTTGGCTGGGACGTTTATTGGCTGAAAATAAACAAAAAACAAAACAAAAAACTAGTGGGTTTCTAGAGGAGTTTTTGAGCTGTAAAAAAGCTCTAACACTAAAAAACGCGGTAAAACGTCGCAAACCGGCTTTTTTTTGGATGTTTTTTCACCCAAAAATTTTTTTTTCTGGTAAAGAAAAACACTAATAAACGCAAACACTGGAAAACGTCACTAAACGCAGCAAAACATTAATGCAAAAATACTAAAAAAAGCTGGAAAACTCAAGTTTTTAATGTGACTTTACACAGCTAACGTTACCAGCATTAGCAAAACGTCAAGTGTGCATGAATGCTCATCTGACAGCCCTCAGGGTTTTCCAAGAACAACAAATATAATAGGAAGTAGTTAGTTATTCTTCCATCACTCTCCATTTTTCTATAGGGTAACTACAAATCAGGTCAAATTGACAGTACTCATAGCTTATTACACGGCAATAAAGTGAACCTGTGTGTGATTTTTAAACCTTTATAAATAAAATACCTGCCTAAGCCTGCCTGATACTTCCCACAAAGGCCTCTTCTGTGATCCTCTCCGATTTAGGTTCTCTTTGTTACCAGGTCCTTGATTTAACTCAGCCGCACCAACTGACATATTCCATCCAACCAAAGTACCTTTATTAACCACTGAGGTGGCCTTGTTGACCAATCAAGGGCTCGTATTTTATGGAGGTCTTGTGTTTTTTATATGAGAGGTTTCTTCTTCCTACCTATTACCAGGACAGGAAGCAAAAGGCAAATTACCCAAAAATGGGTCACAGTCCCTATCATAATCCTGTCATTGGTTCTAGCTTTTCCCCCACACAGCTGCCCATGTCACTTGTTGGAGGCAATAGATGTATGTGTCATCTGTACACCTAAGTTCAATGTACCAATTACCTTTTTCCTCCCTTTGGAGATTAAATAAAATAAAAACAAATCACAGACTAAAAATCATCTGTGTAGCTCAAATTTAATATCTTACAGTTTACTTGTCAATATGCAAGCTTTTGATAAACGAGACCTCCAGGCCCCACAAACCTCCCAGGGCGTCATGACAAGTAAGAAATGAGGAAGGAACACACATGTAAAAGAACTAAATCTGTGAAAAACATAATTTTAACTGAAGCGTAACAGAAAGGATGTAAGACTGTTGACAAATCACAAGTGACAATTTGTACTGTGTATGCTGATAACTGATAAGACACTTACAACAAAGATACTGAAGTCCTGATAGAAACATGGAATTATCTAGTAAAGGTGCCTACAGATTTTAGAGAACGTTCACTGACCATAAATGGATTTGATTGCATGTTGAGGAAGTTGATTGACTGGAATGGTTTTTCCTGGCTAAACAAGTAAAGCAATGTGTTTCTTTGCAAAAGTGCAGCACCCGCACTGTTCCCCGTTCCTCCTCCATCGGAACAAAGATGCAAAATGAGGGAAATGCCAACTTAGACAGGTGTCACTGCAACAAGCTCTCCCATTGGAAGATTTACCTCTATTGTCCTCATCACAAACACAAAACTTTGGATTTTTCTTTACTTTTAATCCCAGTGACAGTGGTCATCATGTCATTTAGAGAGTGTGAATCTATCAAGGACACGGACAGTAATACATCTTAAGAGTATATGTAAAAGGGAAAAAACCTGCGCTACGCCCCCAGAAAAAAAAAAAACCATATGCACAATGAATGACAATGAATAAATAAATATATGAATGAATATAGTGAACGGCTGCTACTCTTTTCTTGAACACCAGAAAAATGCAAAACATATAAAGTGAGTGCATGTACACTAAACAATCAAATGCAATATCTAAAACACAATATCCACAAAATATAAATAAATAATATGGCAAAAAGTATATTGCTAAAGTGCTATAAAAAGTCCAAATTCATAAAGTGAATAAACAAAAAAGTCCCAAATCCAGTGACACAATGCTGTGTGCTGAAAAATCTTCCAACAAAAGTGTATAGGTGTCCACAAGTGCTTGTCACAACAGAAAAATCAGTCTCTTACTAGACATATTGATCTCCAGTCAAAAGATCAAACAAAGCAGACGATTGTAAGCTCGAAAGAGCAGGGCCCTCGATCGATGTTTTGCATTGTATTGGTATTGTTCTGTCACATGTTCTGTCCCCCTTTGTAATGTACAGCGCTGAGTGAACTATTGGCGCTTTATAAATACTGTATAATAATAATAAAATGTTCAGATCCAACACTGACACCCATGTTAGCAGGATCAAGGAGATGAATGAACAACTGCAGGTTCAACTAGACCGGTTCCTCACACCGAACCGCTCTCCACACCATGTAAGGAAAGGTTTAAACCAGAAGAAGAAAACTTCATAGTGCAACCCGATAAACGAACAAAAGATTTATTAATGTATTGTACTTACATAGATAAGGTGCATAAAGGCAATATACAAATTTTAAAATTCCCACAGTGTCAAACCACCAGCTGGAATATGGTGACATCACAGCTCTGCCCGATGTGTTTCTCCAAAAATGGCATCCTCTGGGATTAGAGATCAATCAATTGATCTCCAATCCCAGAGGACACCATTTTTGGAGAAACACGTCAAGCGGAGCTGTGACGTCACCACGTTCTGACACTGCAGGAATTTTAAATTGTAAGTGCAATACGTTAATAAATCTTTTGTTAGTTTATTGGTTTGCACTATGAAGTTTTCTTCTTCTGTTTTAAACCTTTCCTTACATGGCGTGGAGAGCTGTTTGGTGTGAGGAATCCATCGAGGTGAACCTGCAGTAATACAGCTTAACACTGGAAGGATTAATGCTTTGTGACACCCTACAAAGCCTGTCAACCTCTTGAGCACTGAAACCTAGACACCCAGACCGAATCTAGCCATGTCAGGTAGTTGACTGGTGAGTGTGTTGTAGGTTGACTCATTTTCCCACCTAGTTTTTTGCAGCAGTTTTTAAAATCTTTTTTACAGCATTTAAAAAAAAAAAAAAAAAAAAAAGATACATAAGGCTTTTAGCTGATACATTGTTTTAATAAATACCCTACTTGAAATTTTTTTTATATAAGCTAGCAAATAGAAAAAATAATATGCGTTTTTTGCTCTTTACACATCAAAAGGTTTTACATGTAATTTATTTACACAATGTAAATGCTTTATAACATTTATAACACAGCCATTTGCAGGATTGTGAGGTTTGTAAACAAACTTCCAACGATCACTACGATTGGCTATCATAGTGATCATATGATCTGATGCATTGCTGACTGTTTCTCGAGACATCATGATAACAGAACTAGTGCACACTCCTAGTTCCCATCATTCACCAATGCATGGCCCTGGTTTATATCTCTCACGGTGCAGGGAGCTGCGCATGACCATGTTAATCTGCAGACACCAAGTGGTTGAGGGTGAAGAGCCTAAAGATGGTCATAGAGTTCTGGGTGCAATTGAATGCACAAACATTTTCTGACCACCCTCGAAAGCTTCAGTCTGCCAGCAGATCCAAAAATATGAATGATGGGCTCAGTCAAGCCTTTCTGTTCTTGTGGTCAGGGGCAGATGAGCATCTCTTTGGAGGGATGAGTTGGTAGAAGTAACCAGGAGAAATCGAACTAGCCTGATTGACTGTTATCCTTTGATTGCGATCAACTGAGTTGAAGACCTCCTACAGACACAAGATTGTGGCCCAACACAGCCAAGTGCTTACACTTCCAGAGCAGATACTGGAACTTGCAGAAGTATTTGGTCATACTAGTCATATATGTGGTCAAACTGTCACATAAACAATTGCCGCAATCGTGCAAAAAACTGATAGTATGTGATGCAAGATTGGCTGCTATAGACAGAAGTAACAAAATGTAACCCATTGTTCTCTAGATAAACCCGTATTGCAGTTCAGTTTTCTGCTACAAATGAAATGAATAATAATGTTTATGTCAGGAGAAACTTCTATGACCAAGTGGAAGCATGCTCTTTCCAATGTAAGAAATGCCTGACACAGATCAGCCTCCTTCTGCCTGCAACAAACTGGTAGGCAGTCACTTGCCTGCGGCTCAAGGATGCAAACACGTTTACTTACTTTAAAGAAAAAAAAATACAACAAAAATGTTTTGTTTCTCTCTCAATTACAATACATTTCAGTACAGAAAGAATAGGAGAGCCTGGCTCGTGGAGCTTACAATCTAAAGGAAGGAGGAGGTGGTACAAAAGGTGATAGCTGCGGGGGGATGATCTGATGGAGGTGGCTCAAGTACAGTTCTTAGGCCCCATATACACAGGACACGTCTGAACGATGGAAACTGACTGCTGGAAAACATAGGTTTAAAAAACGTCTGTTTAGCCGTGTTTGCATAACGCATTTATGTGCATTTGCGTTTAGAAGCGTTTTTTAAAGATAAGCCTAGAAGAACCTCCCAAATACCCAGAATGCACTGAAAAGTGGTAAATTATTAACTATTTCAGACTGTTTCAGAGCAATACAGAGAGTAGAAGCAGAGACAGCAGTATGTGTTGAGATAATTAGGTGGGAGTTGCTCATTAACATTTCTGTTGTTTCCAAGGGTGGGAAGGTGGCTGCTGGAGTGAGTCATTAAGGTCACCTGGCAGGGGGTCTTCATCAGGAATTTGAGGTGTGAATGGTCATTAACATATGTTTTGTTTCCAAGGGTGGGAGAGGTCTGAGGTGTGAATTGGTCTTTACAATGTGTGACAAGCTTGGTAGGAACATCCTGTGTTCAGTGTTTTGTCCATCTGAGTACCTTGAAAACACTTTGAATGGATTTTCATGATGAAAAAAAGGCTCTGGACAGCATCAGGAACTGGAAGAGTTAAAACATTTTTTCAAACGCAAACGCTTATAAATGCGATTTGCCGCGTTTAGCCACATTTACAAGCATTTTGCATTTGAAACTCTGATAAAATCGACTGCTGAACCCAAGTTTTATGTGTTCAAAAAAATGACTGTAAACATGGACACATAGGAAAACAGTGAGTTCAGGGGCTGCTGAAAAAAAAAAAAACGCTGAACAGCTCCTAACCGTGAGTTTATCAGCTGCAGTGTACATGAGCCCTTAGGTAGAGGTGTGGTAGGCTTTCCTGAATAAGCAAGTTTTCAAAGATCGCCTAAAGGCAGACAGGGTGGGGGCTGACCGGACATACTGCAGTAGGGAGTTCCAGACAATAGGAGAGGCTCTGAAGAAGTCCTGGAGGCAAGCGTGGGGGAGGTGACAAGGGAGCTAGAGCTACACATGTAAACACAGTCACCCTGTAAAGAGAGTTGAAGGCCTCCTGTACACAGGTATACCAACATACTTCTGTGTTTGCTGGATCTTTTTGCCAGGAGCTGAAAGAAAAATCCAGTTTAAAAATTACTAATTTTGGCACGTGTACTTGTACCCATTTATGTACGCATGGCATTCAGAGGTGTATGCACGTAAATGCAATCTGTTGGCTATAATATTTTGTTATGTATTTATGTGTTTAAGGGCCACAAGTTTGGGACATTTTTTTAATCTAATTTTTTTTTGTTACACGTCCCTAAACTCGGCATGCAAATATGGATTTACATGCCTGGGGGTACATGGGCACATTGGCCAACATGCAGCTGCATTCAGAAGCTATATTTCTCTGAAAGCAGCATTTTTTTTTTTTTTTTTATGCCTGTGTGCATGAGGCCCAAAACTTATCTTTCCAGGTCAGATCTCCACTGTCCTAAAAAACAAAACAAAAAACTAACTTCTGACACTTCAGAAATGTTGGATGTATGTCCTCCGCTGGCCCTGTGGTTCTTCTTACCAGCTACTATATTACTACTGCATCCTGAAGTGACATAGCAGTCAGTGGGAGGAACTACCAATCACAAGTGAGATTGCAGTGGCACACACAGCTTTTAAAGAGCACTTAGATTTGATTCATTGCCCATTGGAAAGAGAAGTATAGGGTCCCTTTCACATGGGCGGTTTGATATCCTTTCACAATGCGGTTTGATAGGGGATCCGTTCTCCATCCGTCTAGCAGATCGGGTCGAATGTCAGTCAGATGTAAATGGACAGGCGGTCCGTTTACATCTGACCTCCCCATAGAGAACTGGATTGTGTCAGAGTCTGCTCTGCACAAGTGGAGTGGAAGTGGACCTGTCATCCGCCTGCTCATAGTTGTATTGATCCAGCTTGAGCTAATGTAATTATGCATACACCATACCTGGCCAATGTCCCTGGATGATTGGAGGAGGTGGAGAACATAACATCAACGCTCCGTCTCTCCACCTTGTCCAATCAGAGCATGCTTTGCATTCATTCAGAAAATACAAAGCATTCTCTGAATAGTGTTGAAGCTGAGCAGTTGACCTCCTGTGTTCAGCATGCATCAGGCTGGCAGCTCAGCATGGGATCAGGAAGCATCCAGGGGCATTGACCAGGTGTGGTCCAAGCTGGATCATTGTAACTATGTATAGAAATATTCATACCTGGAATTCTTCTTTAAGGATAGCCAGCAATGGCAGCTCCCATATTTCATGACAGATTCATGCAACTTTAAAGAGGTAGAGATCTACCTGAACAACATGGGAGAAGTTAAAGATCACCTGCACAGTGTCACCTCCTCACTCCTGATTTAAACCTCTAATTGTCATACTACTGGCAATCATGTGTTTAAATCAGGTGGTGGGAAGACAACATATTGCCTCCTCACCACCTGTCAAACACACTTGTATCACTTTTCAGAGGAGCAACAGTGCCTGATGCACTTGTAAATGAGCTGCTTTCGTTAGTGGCTCCCTCACATGTAAAGTTGTGGGGTGGTTGAGTAGCTGGTTTGTTGTTACGTCAAAGCACATACACCAGTGACACCACCGGCCGCTGCTCCCTAGAATATCTCCTAAACATGCACAGTTAGGAGATATTCATTTAACCTACAAGTATGCTTACCTGTAGGTTAAAATAAAAATAGTTTAGTACCACTTTAACATTAACTAGTTACAGACTTTAGGTGTGCTACACATGCCCAAAAAAACTTCATAATTGCACAAAGGACATGTGTAGCATGTTCAGTCTCTCTGCTCTGCTTCTGGGACCCCCCCTCTTTCCAGTGTACCATAATTATTAGCTGTTATTAACCATAGCCAGCATTACTGTATATTCAGAGATGTCAGCAGCTATAGCTGTCAAAAAAGTAGTTTGAATCAGTGTTTATAAACAGCATTGCTCCAACATGATTATACAAAGATACAATGAACATATTGCTATATTTGAATCTTCCTTTTCATTCATCTGCAGATCAAAAAGGGATGAACTTAGATCTGCAGATGATGTCAACTGAAGCAACTTGACAAGTACAAGTGTTTTTTTTTTTTTAAATAAAAGGTTTCTCTGTTTAAACCTTTATTAACCCTTAGTTTACTCCAATTAGCCCTAATTAACTCTCCTCTAATTTTTTTTCTGTGGATTTTTGTTGTTTGTTTCTATTTTATTAACTATTAATATTTCAAATGTTTTTGCTTTGTTTGTTAATATTTATATATTATATATGCGTCCCGGCCAGTGATTGGCGAGCATCTCCGACGAGGTGGGGGGTGGTCGAACAAAACAGTTCTCTCCCCACTCAGTCAGCTCCTGCACACTGCTTTGCGCACAGTGAAGCACAAACACAAACCCTTTGATCACCCCACATGTTAACCCCTTCCTGCCTAGTGCCATTAGTACAGTGTTCGTGCTTTTTATTAGTCCTGATCACTGTATTGGTGCCACTGGGGATTTATGATGACATTTATGATGAAATTTGATTTTTAACATTTCTTTTACTGGACATGTTTAATAGCAAAAAGTCAAAAATATTTTTTTTTCTCAAAATTATTGCTCTTTTATTTTTTTATAGCACAAAAAAAATAAAAAATGCACAGGGGATCAAATACCACTGAAAGAAAGCTCTATTCATGGGAACTAAAGGATTGAAATTTTACATAGGTGTAGCGTTGCATGACCGAGCAATTGTCTGTTAAAGTAACGCAGCGCCGTAACGCAAAAAAATGGGGGTAAATCCGCTGGAGGGCAAGTGGTAAATATTTCAAATGTTTTTGTTTTGTTTGTTAATATTTTCACATATTTAACATATATTTATACATTTCCCATTTTAAAAAGTGAAAATTGGGGAAAAAAAAAAACACTATTTCATTTGTAAACAATTTGCAATGCTTTGTACCAGAATCATAATTTTATTGTCATTTTAAAATGGACAAACAACAGAATAAAATGTACACGTTTAATATGCAGTGACACTATTTATTCTTAAAGTAAAACTGCTCAAAAAAGGAAAAGTGTGTTTTGTTTCGTTTTGCTGCATTTGATTGTGTAAAGCAGAGTTTCTCAACCAGGGTTCTCCCAGAGGTTGCTAGGAGTTCCTTGAGCAAAGAGCAGTATCTGCCTCTCAGATGGGTTCCCGCTGACACCATTGATACATCTATAAGGGAGTAATTCTTCCCAATGACCACAAGTGTAAGGAACATTCTTCCTACTGAACATCACATGAATGTATCATGAGCTGTAGATACAGTAATTTTTAGCAGGGGTTCCCCGAGACCAAAAAACATTTCAAGGGTCCCTCTTTGTTGAAAAGGTTGAGAAAGGCTGGTTTAAAGATTGTGAACAAATAAAAAAAAAATCATTGTTGCAAGACAATATCATAAAGAAAGACTTGGGGTTTTTTTTTTTTTTTTTTTTTTAAGGACAAAGTATTACCTTTCTCCCTGTGCCTGCGTGGGTTTCCTCTGGGTACTTCTGTTTCCTCCCACAATCCAAAGAAATGCTGGTAGGTGAATAGGCTCCTGTCTAAATTGGCCCTAGTATGTGTATGTATGAAAGTAAGTTAGGGACCTTAGATTGTACACCCCTTGAGGGTTAGGGACTGATGTGAATGTACAACATATATGTAAAGCACTGTGTAAATTGATGGCGCTATATTGTCTTTAGTAATGACAACGTTATTGCTGAATAAACAAGTGCAGAGCAGAATTGTAAAAGATGCTCTGGCCCATAGAAGTTGGTTAAACACCCTCTGGTTGTAAGTGCTGCACAAACTGTTGGCACTATATAAATCCTGTATAATAATAATAATGGAAGACTGTGCGACATTAGCCCAGGCAGGAGTGTGGTAGCCGATGTTTACTACTCTAGACAAGAAAAAGCACCTTACTGATTGTGTATCTACTTTAAAAGGTAAACTTGTCAGAACTGCTTCTTATTACTGTACATACTTGGGGAAGAATGATTTTTTTTTAGGATTTTTTTTTTTTTTTTTTTTTTAGGACATTCCACTGGGTTACTGGCATTCTGGATCAATGTGTAACAGTTGATGTTTCAGCAAATGTTCAACACACTACTGACAGTATCGGTTATTCAGGAAAAACGGGTTCTACAACTAGTAAATTCAGACAGTGGCATGTGTAGAGGAAGTCATTATTCAGTATGGTAGTTTTGGATAGGAGTTAGACCTTCCGTCAAGTGCTAATTACTGTCCCCACTGTGTTAACCCTTACCTTGGAGAAATTTTTACTCATTTTATGTTGTGTCTCAGGACAGAAGGTAAAAAGGAAATTTCTCCTGCAGGACATAAACAGCATATAACCCAATAGGGTTTTTTTCTACCCTGCCTTACTCGGTCTCAAACAAAAAACTGTTGGCTACACATTCACTTAACATAAACCAGAGCATTGGAGCGCATGTGTGCGAAGTACTGGTCAGATTGTGCCTGCATGTCTGGTCACCCTTCACTGTCCACAGTGGTGTATTTAGGTTTTTTGCTGCCCTAGGCAATACAAAAGTCAGACACCCCCCTCCCTGGCCTGACACCCCCCCCCCCCCCCCCCCCCCAACCATGCAGAGGGAGCCTGACAGTGACCAACAACACCTCGGCCTCACCCCCCCCCCCCCACCCAAAAGAGCATTCCACTAGCACAACACCCCCCCCCCCCCCCCCCCCCACGGCATCATCAGAGAGAAAGATTCGCCTTCACAGCTCTGGACATTTCCGGGAACGACAGTTGAGCTCTGCATACACCATCAAGCAGCCCACAGCCTTTCTCAGATCCCACCTAGTACCCATGCCGCATATGCTCTTTCTTCCAGGGGGCACTGCTGCCCCCCTAAAAAATGCCGCCCTAAGCAAATGCCTTGTTTGCCTTGTGGTAAATGCGTCCCTGACTGTCCATCTGCACTCTGTATTAAAATGGCTTGTCCAGTTTGATTAGTTTATAAAATACCATAAAAGCAGATAATGTATTGTCGGACATTCTGGTCCATACAGCCCTCTTCAGCAGAGTTGAGGTGAAAGGGAAAGAGATGGCGGATTACCAGAGGACAAACAGTAGATTAGCTGGACACAGTGTAATATTTGCAGTTGAGAAGAGAGATTTCAACACCCGTACATGAACATGAAGACAACGGTGCCTACCAGACACAGGGCTCATTGCCTGATCTGTCTAATATCAGGAGAGTCAAACAACAGTCCCCTTGCTAACCTAAAATTTAAAGCAGACCTTGCAGTCCACTATAAAACCTCGTCTACCATACATGATGTGACTTTCTTACCTGCAACCACGGGTTGCAAGAAAGAAAATCGCTCAAATCCCTCATCAACAAAGTCATTCTTGATGGGGGAATTCCTCCTGAGGAGCGGTTTTCTTCTACTGGTGGGAGGGCAGGGGTAGAAAACAATTACTGTTAATGGCTATAATAACCGCTGTGAATGATTACATGAGAAATCCGACATTCTGGTTGTACCAAAAGTTGTACAACAATGGTACAATCAGCCTGCCCGTAGATGGTTTGAATCTCAGCCGGTCCCAGCTGAACCGGCTAGGATTCAAGCCATCTATGACCGGCTTAAGTGTACTTGAAAAATGTGCCTGAAAAGATCAAAGTTAGACTATACTTACATGATCTCTAATATTCTGCTCCGATTTCACCATGTACTTCAAGGAGGCGGGAGGTCAACTAGATGTGTCAACATGAGGTAGGTCTGAGATAAACCATGTGTTACTAGGCTTCTCAAATGGAGTAAGAGTTGTACAACAATGGACTTGGGTACAATCAGCCTGCCCGTAGATGGTTTGAATCTCAGCCGGTCCCTGCTGAACCAGCTGAGATTCAAACCATCTATGATCGGCTCAAGTGTTCTTGAACAATGTGCCTGAAAAGATCAAAGTTAAACTATACTTACCTGATCTCTAATGGCCACAGCACCTAAGTGAGGGTGTTATCATGCTCTTTCCACCAAGATCCTGGGGAAAACAGAGCAGCCCAAAACTAAATTAGAAAATGCACTTACACTGGACTGGAGTGTCTTCTTGCAAGATTTTGGATACTCCTCATTCCCTAGAAAGCTCACCAGAAGAGTAGTGACATCATGTCATGCAACATAAAAGAGGAGGATAAGATATCGAACGTTTTTCTTTACAGGTACATTTTTCTAAGTACTATTAGGAAACCATTTTTAATGGAGGGGAGGGGGCTTTGTTAAATCTAAATTATGATTCGGCACTTATATTGATGGCAAGCTTGCAAAATATTTGGTTTTTATGATTAGTCATAATTAATATTAATATGTGTAAGTGGTCTTTGACAAATGGTAGTATTTACTATTCTTCAATTATAGCTGAGACCAAAAGATATACAAGTTAAGCTGAAATAGTATATACCAGTTGAAAGTTGAGTAGACTATATTTAGAGATATTTAGGCATAAAAGTATTTGGTAGTTATGTCAAGGTTATTAGAAGTGACTTACTATTACATTACGTATTTTCTGTGTATATTTAGTATACGTTTCTAACATTGATACATTTACGTCATTAGTTTATAATATTAGTACATCAGCATACATATGTTCCTGTCCATCAAACATCATATGTATAGCATCTTTCCCTTTTATGAAATGGCTTTGCTAAGCAGTAATACTTTCCATAGAAGGTATTAAGATCGCTAACTATGACGTACATTTGCCTCTTAAAAGTGCATGAGACACAGACACAGGGACACATACACACTCTCTCTCATACACACAAGCAACATGACTCTTGCAAACACACGTCTGAGAAGCTGCAACAGGTGCATACTGAGATCACTTCCAGCTACAATTTAGTCACATCCGGCTTCTCCTACTTTACAAAGTCATTGGGAAGGACAGCATGGAGCATGGAGCACATGGCAAAGACAGAACAGCCATGACAGATAATGGTGACTTTTTCTTTGAACTTTTGTTTGTCAGTTTTACAGTAGTTTTATCTACATGGAACTGTTCATAATATGCTTTACATTGTTATTTGACATCATTGTGTGATTGAAATAAAAAATGAAGTGTGATTTTATTCTATGGCTCTTTCATTCATAATCGCCTCAAGACACTAGAAGAAGTATTATATGTGTCTAAAAATCCAACAGGCTTCAACCTTGCAAGCAAACCTTGCATTTTGCTGTAATTTTTTGTTTTCTAATTCGCTATTTTAACTTTCAACAGCACATACAGATGGTACAACCTTAACATACGAGTGCAAGTGAATCTGCACAATAGACTCGATCTTGTACACCAGCAGAGAACGATCACGGCCAGACAATTTCTTCAAAGCCCTCTTGAAATAATACAGCATAAAAGGGAGTAGAGGGGAAGGAAAACAAAACAAAAAAAAAACAAGGGAAAAAAAAAAAGTGTGTGT